CAGCTTCTCCTCCCGCTTTTTTTTTTCCTTCCTTTCTCTTTATTTCTGTTCAGTTGGTCCTGCTGCGCCGCTAGCGTCGCGCAGGGCTGGGGAGGCGGGAGCCGGGGTAGCGTAACGCACGAAGCGATTAGCCCCGTTTAGCCCCTGTCTACCCCCCGCCTCTTCCTTCCTTAAAATAGCCGCAGGTGGGGTGCGGGAAGGCGGATCTGCGCCCTCTCGCAGCGAGGTCTGCAGTCACGTCAGCAGGGCGCCCTTAAGGCGATTACTCCTCGCAGTCCCAGTACAGGCTGCTTGTGTCTTGAGGGACTTTTCTCAAATAAGCCTCCTTAGGGAGGGCCTACACCGAGGTCTGATTTTTTTCCTAGTTCTCTTGGTGAGATGGGGAAGTCTAATTTGAAAATGTCTTTTTTTAAAATGCTTGTTATAGAAGGCTTGTAACAGTTCTAAAAAGAACTGTGTTCTTTCCTTATTTGTGTGTTTTCTCATATTGCCAGCGTTTATTGCAATTAGTCTATGAATTCATCACAAGAAGTTCCTTATTTTCTTTTAAAGTATATAATATTACGTATGTGCTATTCAGTTAAGAGCTTTTTTAAAGTTACAGTAGTGTAAAGCTAAGAGATGGAAATACAGCAACTATTATTAATGTCGAAAGCAAAGGGATTTGTATGAAGTCATTCATCAGCTACAGGTGTTAACGAGAGTTTGCTTCCCTTTCAGTGAAGGAGAATGTCTTTGTTCAAAGCGCGTGACTGGTGGTCCACTGTGCTTGGAGAAAAGGAAGAATTCGATCAAGGCTGCCTTTGTGTTGCTGATGTTGATAACAGTGGGCAAGGTAAATTCAGAATTAACAGCTGCTGACTTTTAAGCTACACAGCTGCAAGTTTGCTCTAACAAAGCCTGTGCAGGGCTACAGCTCGTTAGCCAGACTAGTTGGCTAGTTAGTCTAAGGTCTGCTGTCTTCAGTATGTTCTTGTAGATTTCATAATACAAGTTGGTTGAGGGCTCCTGTTTTTGTTTGCTCTTTGTGTATTTCTATGTCTCAATATTTTAAGCCTTGCTCATCTTTCATAGCAACTTTGTCAATGCTTTATATATTTTTCAGTGTTGATATATGATATATCCCGGCAGATATATTTAAAACAAAGACTTTAAGTTAGTCATGGAAAAAATACATAAATTTCGTATAAACCATTGAACTTATGGGGAAAAAAAAACAGGAGGGTGAGAGCTAGTACATTAAATAGTTTTATATGCTAAATATATATATTTTTTAAATGTCATTTTGTGCAGCAAAAATAAGGGCATGCTGGAATCAAGTTGTACTTCACTAAAGGAAGTCTTGCTTTTTTGTAGTCATTAAGAGATTATAAGTATAGAATTGAAGTGATATATCTCTGTGGCTACATTTTTACAAAAATTAGTGATCTTTCTTCTCAGGAAGGGTTCTCATAAGTATGCATATGTTATATTTTTATTAGTTATAATAAATATTAGCTTATAATAAAAATTTAGGATGTTTCTTTTATAGAATCTCTTGCGGCATCTTGGACCTCTTTTTGCTCAGCAGAAGTCCTTGAGTAGGATATAATTTTTGCCAGTGTTTTTTAAAACTCTGCTCTTTTAGAAGGATTTTAACATAGTAAAGCTATGCTGCTGCTATGCTGTGCTTTTTGGAGGAAAATCAACTGAGGGGATTATAGGTGGAATCTGTTTCTAATGAGAAAGTAGGCCCTTCTTTCATATCAGTTGTGAGCAGTGTTGTGCGAGTGTAGTAGTAGTTCAGTACTTTATTTTCTTTCTTAACACTATTTTTCTCTGTTTTTAGACAAGGATCCTTTTCTTGCAGAGTTCAGGGCCAAAAGTAAATACAACCTTAAGGCAAACGATCATCTTCTAGATAAACTTATTAAGTATATTTAAGGAATGTGTTACTAAATTATATTTTAAGATAAAAGTTGCACAACTGTTAATTTGCCTCTGGTAGACTACCTGTTACAGCACAGAAATGAGGCAAAGAGTAATGTGCAGAAGGCAGACAGTTATATCTGAACTAGGGCCTGTTGGGAAAAGTTTGCTGCTGGAGAGGAGGAGGAGGCAGCTGATCTTAACTCTTGAGTTAGGGTCATGTGAAACCATTTCAAATCCTTAGAGTCTGATAAATATTTTGAGTGCTGGAAAGACTTGTGGGGGGGAGGGTTGATTTTTTTTTTTTTTTCTTTTTTCTTTTTGACCTGCGTTAGTGACCTGTATCCAGACGTAATACATATTGATGACTTCTTTAGAAGGTTAGCTCTTCTAAAGTAATCTCAGCAACTCCAAGGTTTTTCATTTATAGATATATATCAATATATATCTATATTTGTGGTTAACAACATGATCTCAAAGTAACTGTCATGTGATTTCCCTTGCTCCTCTTGGAAATGACAGCTCTGTCCCAAGATGTGGAGGTCTTAAGGCTGTGTTGACCTCATCTAGCAATTGTGTGAATTTAGTTTTCATTCAGGTTAATGTTATGGGCCCCTGTCTTAAAATTTAACACTTCTCCTGGCTTGATAGGTGTTTGCACAGATCCAAGATGTAGAATCAGGATGTTTGAAGTACCCTTAAAAATTAGCGTGTCACTTTTTTTTTTTTTAAAAAACCAGTATGAGCATCAAACTGAAGCAATAGAATAGTAGCAATGGTTAGTGCCATCACCATGATAATTGGACCCTTTGCTAACCATTTTTGTTGCTGGGGGAAAAAACAATAATTACTAACATTAGTCTGGAAGACAAACCATCAGTAAAATCATGTGCAAATATTTTGCCTTTGAAACACTTCTGTAAAAAATCTGATTCTGTGTGTGTCACTATTTTTTTAATTTCATTTGTTTGTTTCTTTTGTTCTTTCTTTTTTGTAGATAAAATTATTGTGGGCAGTTATATGGGATATCTCCGAATCTTTAATCCACATCCTATGAAACCTGGGGATGGCTTCCAAGCTGAAGACCTGCTCTTGGAAGTGCAGTTACGAGAACCGATACTGCAGGTGGAAGTGGGAAAATTTGTTTCGTAAGTGAACAGGCTGTGTTGCTGATAAAGCTGTCTAATTAGCATGGTAAAATATTCCCTAAAATATTTAGGGCAAATATTTAGTAAGTGTTAATGGCTCAGATATATTTTTTTAATTTTCTTTTTAGGAATTTCAGTTTGGGAATTTCACTTTTCAGATTGGCAACCTATTAAAAATATCGTTACTATAGTGTGTATTTGATCTGCTTACTCATGTCAATATGAGAGCAAATTTTTGTCAAATATATAGGTGGAAGGGAATCTTCCTTTGTTTGTTTGTTTTTCTAATTTTTAAGAAACATAAATAGGAAACATGAGTTTTCACAGCACCTAGAAATCTTTAAGAGTAACCTCTTGTTATCAGCCAAGCACATAATTGTTCACCAGTTGCTTTACATTTATCAGAGGGATTGAAGATCTTTCCTTTCAAGGAATTTAATGAAAAGTGCACTACAGGAGGTGCTCAAGGAAAAGATTTTATATTTAATTGGTATAAAATAATCTAATTTGCAATTGTGCAAGCTTTTTTTTTTTTCTTTCCTTTCTCCTTTATTTAAAGACTCTCACCCTGTGTAATCGTGGAAAAGACTTCTCTGCATCTTGTGCTTGGAGACCTAAGTTCCCATTCTAGAAGGAACCATTTTCTCTAGGGAATCATTAGTTTATTCTAATACTTATGGAGTGTCCCAGTGTAGAAATACTAATGTTTTGCCTGATCGATTGGTATAAAGCTTCCTTCTATAGTTATAGCATTTTTTTTTTTCCTCCGTGCAAGAGGTAGTACTAAAGGTGGTGTAGGAGGAAGGTGTAGGATGTGGGATTCAAAGCATTGTGACTGTGGATGTGATGTGGATTTTCTGTGTGTGGGGATTTTTTTGTTTGTTTAATTTATTAATATTTTCCATGCGGCGAACACTGAAAAATTAAAGTATCTTGCATAGCTGCAAAATAATATGTGTTTGGTGTAAGAGTCCTCATTATCCATTTGGTTTTGGAGGAGTTAAGAGCATCTTGTTTGGATTGAATTTCAGACTAAACTGGAAAAATAATGAGCTTGCTCTTCATATTTAAATCTGGAAAAAATGTTCTTTAAGATTTCATTTTAATTTTGAGATTGTCTTCAAATACTGGAATATGAATTTAAGAAGGTAGTTGAAGTATTCTGGGATTTAACATGCCCAAACCTTGGGGTCTGGCTCACACTTGATAAGAAATTATTGGGAATCTTTACAGTAACTTCAATACATCACTTGAATTTAATTGAATTTTCTGCGCTCTACTACAAACTAATCTCAAACTTTTTTCTTCTTTACAGTGGTACGGAAGCACTTCATCTGGCTGTGTTGCATTGCAGAAAACTCTGTGTGTATGCTGTTTCAGGTGGGTTTAAAGACATAAATCTTCTAGCCATTTTAGGTTATTCTAAAATTGGTTCAGGTTGAATATTAAATTCAATAGAAAGAGGATTTGATAGTCACACCTGAATATTTTAGTGGTCTTTTTAAGGGTGTGTTTGAAGGGGAAAGCATTAGTAATTAGGTCAGAATATTTCTTGATAATTAAAGGAGATGTGTTTTGCTGCTCTCTGCTTAAGCATTGTGATTTATCGTATGCAGGCTGAGTCTTGCTCTGCTCTTTGCAATGCTCTGGCTAAGTGGCAGAAGGATGATGTTGATCTCAGGGAAGTGATGAGTCTGCAGCTGAGCTGCTCGAAAATTAGTAACTAAATAACTCATCTTATAGTGTGTAGTGTCAGCAATTTCAGAAACAGGTGTTCTGCATGCAGGTGAATAAATGGTTGTTTAAGGACAGCCTACACACCCAACTTTATTTTCTTTAAGCCATTTTTACAATTATTTCACAAAAATCCAGATAGTTTCTTAGAAAGCCAGAAGATTGGAAACATATCTTAAGAGAAGATAGAAAGTTAACAGTGGTAAGAATCCGAAATTACTGCTGTGGTGTGTGTGTGGGGTTTTTTTTTTTTTTTTTTTTTTTCTTTCCTCTTCTTAAAACCTCTTTTTTTTCCGTCTTTGACTGGAAGTTCTAAATGATGCACTAGAACTATATGTGAACAGGAAGGTCACAAAATACCTTTTTTGTGTCTTGCGGAACAGAATAGACACATTTAATAGACCTGGTAAAGCTGTGACTCATCTTCAGAATTTAATAGTTTCAATTCAGTTTTGACCTTCCTCATGCAGTGACAACTGTGGCTACTTTCACTCTTCCTTCGTGTGTAGTGTTCTCACAGGAGCAGCTTCCTGCTCATTAGAGATCCTCAGAGGTTACAAATGCATGTTCTTTCAAGTAATAATTGCCTTCTAGTTATCTTAGCTGGGGATACCTGCATAGTTGATCTTCTCTAATGTTGCTTATGTCCTGTTGCCTACTGTTATACTTTTTATTAGCATATCTTATTTTTAAATATTTTTATTAAGAGCGTACAACAAATAAATGAGTCTAGAGTTTGTTTTGATTTTCAAGTGGCATTTGGTCTATGTTATTTGAGCGTTTGGGTCAAAATGAAAGCCAAGTTTTACAATCCTTAAATTATAATGCAAAATATATGTTGTTATATTATAGATAAATTATAAATTTTAATAACGATAATTAACGAAGTCATAAGCATCCCTGCAATAATGATAACCCTCTATCATTTGAACAGATACTTTTGAGCAAGTCTGTTCCAGAATTGAAGATCACTTTCTCTTCCTGCTTCAAGGGGAAATCACTATTTTTGTAAATCAAGGTTTTACCCGATTTATACTTTTTGCCATACACTTGTTGTTGATAGTAAAATAGATTCTCTCCCTGGATGTCTGAGAGCATCTTCCAAGACTGATTAGATTATAACCTGGATATTGCATTTCCGACAATAGGCATAAAATGACTACCTTGTAACCTGTTTTTCTTCTCTTATTGCTACTTAAGTAGCTACCTACCTGAAATTATAGGTAGGTACCTACCTGCCTAGTTTATCAAGCCTGCTTTGATGCTAATATCTGGGAATCTATATTGATTTTTTTTTTGGTTGGAGCAATTGCCTAAAAAAGGTTGGTCTAAGCTTTTCGCAGAGCTTGAAGATTGGAATTGAAATGATCTGTGTATACCTGAGAATTGTGAGAGGATCTAGCATAGGACTGTTTACTAGAGCAATTGATGTCTCCTTTTTCTGTGTGACTTATTAAACTTACTGTGCTGGCTAGTATGACTTCTAGAGAGTAATACCACTGTTTATGGGAGTGCTGAAGAAAGGCCTTTGTCTATCAAAAGATAACCTTAACTTCAGTGTCTTGAAAGACTTGGGATTTTAATTCCCTAAAGGGATCAGGACCTTAAGGTTCTTGCAGGTGCTTTTGAGAAGACTATAAGGCATGTTAGAAAAATAACACAGAATCACAGAATGGTTGAGGTTGGAAGGGACCTCTAGAGTTCATCTAGTCCAACCCCCCTGCTCAAGCAGGGATGCCTAGAGCACGTGGCACAGGGTGGCATCCAGGCAGGTTTAAATGGAAGATCTCCAAATCACTCTTTACCCTCTCACCCTCCTCCCGCTTAGTAGATGTTCAGGGGAACACAGGTAAGATCACTTACAGTTTGACTTTGTGTACCTTCTACATATCAAAATACTGCTTAAGAGAAGTGTTAGGATTGCCTAAAACAGCTCAAACATAATTAAAACAAGAAAAATCAAGCAGCAATACTTTATAGTGGGCCTACATGCTCTGTTTCCTTTCTGAGATAAACTGATGAATCGGATTTGCCCATTATCTTTAAGGCAAAAGAAGTTTCTCTCACCAAGCACAAAACAGAAGAAACTGCTTGATTAAAGGATACAACACACAGGCACATCCAGTACTTGCTCTCTGTTGTTCAAAACCCAATCCACCATGAGTCTTTTTCATAATATATCCATATATTACATATTATATTTTGTATATATACATAATATATCTGTTACTGTATGCATATATCTCTTATCCTTGCATTCTTAATCACTGCACTGAATTTCAGAGCAAGTAAAGGTAAGTGATAAAGGTCTCCTAAAAGTACCTTTTCAAAATTAGCTTGGTTGAAGCTTAATTTGAGACGCAGGCTATTACAGCTGTGCTTCTCATATGGATGCAGCACATCCACTGAACACGCTGACTAACTAGAGAATCATAAGATACTCCTACTCATGAGTAGGCTTTTTTGGTGAGTTTCATTTTGAGGTATACTTGACCTGAGGACTATGTTTAAATAATAGAATCTCTGCCTCATGCTAAGTCTTTATAGTTCATTTAGTGTAGTGCATCCGTATTTTTGGTTCTGGGGTGCTGCTTTGGGAAAGAAAGCAGCAGTGTCAGCTGTCATGTGTCAACATCATTAGGAATAAGCTATGGCTTTCGGTTTTTTCATACTGCGTGAGTTGGAGGATGTGTGCGCACATACAAATACGTGTGTGTGTAGATGCACATATATACACACCTTTTCTTTTTGTAGGAATGCTGGGAAATGTGGAACATGGGAATCAGTATCAGGTTAAACTGATGTATGAGCACAATCTTCAGCGAACTGCTTGTAATATGACTTATGGACCATTTGGTGGTGTAAAAGGTAAGCTCCTTCCTGTGTAATCTTTGTCATTAGTTGTTGAACTGAAAAGTTGAGTGATAACTTCAGTTTTGAAATGCTGTGTGGTACTGTTCTCTGGAGAGAAACCATTGTTTAGAAAGATGATCTAATCTTGTGCATATTTTTTTTTAAAAAGGGGGGGGGACAAAATACTGAAATGCAAGTAAAACACAGTGTAATAAATGTAGGATAGTTCTTCACAGATGTATCTTTTTGAGAGCAGGGTATGGATTTACAAGGTTTTATCACTGAGAGGAAAAAAATTAAGGAACCCCCTGCTCTTCCCTTGTAAAATATTTTAATATCAAAATGACTGTGTTCTTTTATGCTATATTCTGTTTTTCTTATCCCAGACAAAGCAAAATCAACATCTTCATTCTCTGAATTTAAAATATTGAGTGTTCTTAAAAATACACATTGCAGGCCTTTTTTCTTTTCTTTTAAGCAAAAGATTTATTTTTTAATTTGAAAACATAGCAATGAAACATGATATTTATGGTGTGTTTGTAGTTTTAAATAAGCTTAATAAATTTCAGTTTCTGAACTCCTGTGACACAACTGTGGGTGCTTTCTTTGTGTTCCAATCTGGAAGCGTTTAGGTTTGCTCAACATGGCAGCACTTTCTCTTCAGAAGTCGTTTTGTCCGCGGTATTGGGGGTTGGTGGTCACCTGCACAAACCGTGTCCCTGGGCTGTTGGTAGCATAGTACCACTTTACTGAGACAGGGTAATATTTTGAGTCAACTTAGGCTTGTACTTGGGCTTGAATGCAGCAGACCAAACCTCAGACAGAATGAGGAGCCTGATGCTTCCTCATTTGGATAATGTTGGGGGAAAATGGTCAACTCTGGTTCTCTGAGTGAGCAGTGCCATCGTGAGTATCTTGATGGGCAAGAGTGTAAGGCATGGGCACGTTCCTGCTAACAGCAAAAAGAGGATCTTCAGTTTCCTGGGAAGTGCACTTCTACCTTGCTGCAGTGGAATTGCAGGAATAAATGCATTGAGGGATCCCGAACTAAGACCAATTAGTGTGTCTGGAATGGAAAAGCAAGGGATCTTTACAACCGTACACACAGCTCTAAGCTGTACACACAACAGTACACAAGGGAACTGTTCTACAGAATAAACTGTCTGGATCTTCCTGTGTGAAGTGTGTTCTTTTACCTGGAGACTCTGGGTCATGTTCTGACTGCCAGCTCAGCATTGATGCCAAACCTCTATATACCTATGGAAGCTGTGGAGGAAGCTGCTAAGTTGCACAGTGAGGAAAATGCCTTTGCACATTAGGAAGATGGAGGGGAAAGTTTACTTCAGAACTCCTTCAGCCAGCCAAACACGTTCCAAAGCCTTGGATAGCTAAAATGAAGACCAGTCTTTGGCAGGCAGAGCAGCAAGGCCATGGAAAGCAACTGGTAAGTCCTGCATTTTTTTTTTTCATTTTTTCTGGTTTCTAGTAGCACTTCTGTCCCAGCATATCAAATTCTATCCCTTTTCCTTTCTTATTTCCCATACTACAGTTTATGTTAGTTTCTAATGCTGTGGAAAAAGGGTGGCCTCAGCTGTTGCTCTGATGGAAGAGTATCAGGAAACAAGGCAGAGATGTGTGTTATATAATAATCCCTTTTTCTATTTAAAAATGGCATTTTCTATTTAAGACTTAAATTTAAGGGAAAACTACAGTGAGTTCTTGGTTTGGTGTCTCTTCTTGGGTTACTAAGGCAGACATTGAAGAAGGAGCAATGGGCAAAGTCGATGTGGGAGGAAAAGCTGTGGAGTGGCACGGAACAGTGTTCTGCCGAACACTGCTAGCTTCAGTAAGTAGGTGCCTGTCCTGATTTGCTTTCCTGCCCTCTCTGTATCATTGGCAGATGCTCTGTGCTGCAACTGAGAGCTGACAGCGGGCTGTAAATAAATATATATTTTTGACTGACTTCTACCGACCTTTCTGGAATTCCTGCTAGGCATCTGCTAACACTCTCCTTCACCTCCGGCAGGGATTAATTCATGGTAGTGGCAGTGCTGAAAGCGCAGCCACGAGACTGCCCTGCCAGCAGGCTGACCTGTGCCGATCTATGCCGCTCTCTGGAGAAAGCTGACCAACAAAAAACACAGTGAGGCTCTTTCCTGTGTTTGTTTCCTGTTATTGCTGTGAATAATGTGTCCTCCTCATTGCTGTACTCAAGCATCCTGGGGAAAAAAGGTGAAAGAGGCACTTCAGAGCTAATGTTTGCAGAGCTGCTGAAACAGACACAGAAGAGTGGTGGTCAAACAGGAGGACTACAAGAAAAAAGTGCTGGGGGAGGATCAGGAGGAGGGGGGTGAATGCAGATCCCCCAGGAACATAGGCTTTCATCTGTGGAAGCAATGAAGAATGTTGCAGGAGTTGTCAAACCACTTGATCTATGAAGTTGCTGTCTGGGTCAGATTTTTCTTGTTGAAGGTGAAGCTCTTCTGCCTCTCCTCCATCTTTTCCATCTTGAAAAGCCCTTAATGCTATGGTAATGAAACATATCCTACCTAATCATACCATCTGAAACTGCTAAAGGAAACATACATACTTTGAGGTTCATTTTTGACTTTTTTTTGGAACTAAACACTCTTTGGCTCTTTGAGTTCTTTTTAATGTTTTGCGTTTGTGGAGTGAGTTTGTGGGTTTTTTTTTTTTCTCTTCTCTACAGTTAGCTATCAATTTCATAGAAACTGAAGAAAATAATCAATTCACTACTGTTTGTTCTCACTCCGAACAAAATAATCTTGGTATTGATTTCTATTGTGCTCCTTTTAGAATTTGGATTCCCATGTGCAGGTACAGTCTGCTGTCTAGTGGGCCACTACTGTTGTGGTCTTAACAGCAATGCAACATGGTCTGTTAGTCCCATGATGCTGTAAGGTTGCATAGGATTTCTGAAAATCTTGTAAAGCTGGTGCATGATTTACATTTGCCATTCCAGAATATCTCATTTCTCCTGGCCTATATGGTAGATGGCTACATCTCTCAAAGGAATAAGCAGGTGAAAACATTTCTGTTTTCCTTTGAATAAGTATGGCTGAACTGCAGAGAAGGCAGCTGAGGTTCTTCTCGAGAGTTGCCAGTTGTTTCTAGAGCCTGATGTTTGGGGATGAGCAGGAACATGCTCAGTATTCCTCACGAGGCTGCTCCACCACAGGATGGGGTCGTTAGGAGTGTGTGTGTGAGGTGCATAGAGCTGGAACAGAAGCCTGAGGCTGGGTGGCTGATGTGGAAATGGCAGGACAGTTCCATAACCAGGTGTCAAGGTATGGAAAGGAACTGAGTTTTGTTCCAGTTTTCAGATTCAGAGCTTAGGGTCTGAATTGTTGGGAAATCTGCCATCCCTTTTAGATCTTTACCAAGGCTGAAGAGGCAGAGAAATTTGTTCAAAATGTGCTTGTAGTTCTCTCTTTTTTTTTTTTTTTAATGCTTCTAAAATTTAGAAGTTTGTTTCAGATTGTACTGGAAGGGAGTCTACCTCTACAATTTACCAAACATCTTCCTGTGTTCAGGAAGCTCGTATTTAAGGAGAAACAGCAATTCTTCCTTTAAATGTTAGTTGACCTCTACACCTTTCAGATCTTTCCCCAAGATAAGCAGTGTGGCTACTAATATCAAAGATCTGTGACTGCTTTTATGGTTCAGTTTGGTTGTGAAAGCTTCCTGGTCTCCTTCAGCTATTTCAAGTTAAACGTGTGCTTACGTAAACCTCTCCCTATGCCTACAGTCCCCCTTCTTCATGTGCTGCCTGATCAGGTAGGAGTGTTTTTTTCACGGCCTCTCTTGATGCGCTAGCTGGGAAAGAATGTCTGCAGTTGTTTGAAATGTGCAAGCGTTTAGAAAGGAGCATCATTAGGAGGTACGGATTGCATGTTCTACTGGCAATTTTGGGTTGCTTTCAGTGTTTTATTTCAGGGAGGGTTTGCAAAGGCAGATAGGTCCTGGGCTCCCATCTGAAACTTTGCCTTAGTTTGGATTCTGCAACTCGCTGCTTGCACCTAGAGGTGAAACAGAGCAAGAGTCTGCGGGAGCCAGTAAGAGGTCTTTCCTAATGCACCCTGAATTATGCAGGAAGGATGTATCCATGTTGTAATAAATATATATATATTTTCCCTCTTATGAAACAGCAGAGCTGTTGTGGTCTTGCGTCTTTTATATCGTTTTAGCCATGGGCTCGATTTGACTGCCCTGGGTAGTCCCACACTGCACAAACAGTAAGTGTCTATGTTGTTTTTGCAGACTTGGGTCATGAGTCTGTCAGTGTTTAGATCATCTCACTGACGTGAAGCTAATCATGACGCGCTGTTCTTCGTGCATCGTGGTACTGTAATAGAATGAATAGTCATGTTTAAGCCAAAGTTCATTCCTTTAATAACTAAGTCCTGTAACTTACCATCTGCTTACAAATTTCAATTAAATTACGCCTTATCTTAATATTTTTCATAGTAACTTAGTCATCTATTGCATAATATTACAAATGCATGATAGGTATCTTGATTGGCATATGTGAATTAAATCTGTTTCAGTAGTGCACGTCTCTCCCTCCTTCCCGCCAACAAGGTTTTCTGTCCTTTCTATCCTCTCCTCTCTCCCCTCCGTGTGGCACAGAGGCTTCCTATTTGAAAGGCTAGTCTTTTACATCCTTGGCTGAATGAGTGGGGAAGGAAGGGAGGAAGCTTCCTCTGGAGGACTTGGTTTTTTCCCTTCTGATAGGTACTGATGGTCCTGCATCCTCAAGCTCCTTGTACGATCGGTATTGTGATGGTGTATTGCCAAAAGTGCTAGTCAAAAGGTTCTTGATTTGAATCACAGAATTTATTTATTTATTATGCTACAGCCAAGCTTCTACAGGAAAAACCCAGTCTGCATGTGCTTTAGACATTAAGAAAATAACAAGATGCTCAGGGCCTAGAAAAGAATGATGTTCTTGGTCAGCTTACACTAGAAGCTTTTGTTCTACTGTTTCTGCTCATCTGTGACCATCTGCTCTCTCCCCTGTTATGTTATAAT